TAGCTGAGTGTGGCAGTGTTGCCATCCTAGTTTGCTCCCTTCTGCAGGGGCTAGATCTGTGCTCACGTTCTCCACCAACTTGTGGCAGGGCTGGTCTCTGCAGCACCCCCTCATGGCTCACCATGGCATTGTTCACCCTGTCTCAGTTTTCCCCACAGGGGAGGTATTACTGCATAGGAGAGTTTATCAGCACCACTCAACAAGGTACGGGTAACAAACTTTGACAATAGTACCAAGAGCAACACAAACAAAAGGGTTTTCTGCCCCTTCTGGACTCAGCTGTCAGTTCCTTCCTACTCTCCCACAGAGCACTGACTCTCAAGGCTTTTCTGCTGTAAGGGTCTTCTTCCAGGGCCAGTCACAGAAGTGAGTAAGCAAGCAAGCAAGCTAGCCTCTGTCCTCCTCCAGGCTACCTGCCTGGCAGTTACCCTTCTCAAGGGCCTACCAGAAGAGCTAACCAACCTTCTGCAGCATCTCCACCTCCTGAGCTCACAGCTCTCTGTAGCTATACCATGACCCCTTCCTAATTGGGTCTACTAATTAAACAGGGCCATCTGATCCCTAGATGATTGGGATCGACTGGAAAGGTAGCTGATGGATCATAGGTGCGGCTGGGCCCAACTCCCATTAAAGGACTAGCCAGCCTGTAACACAGATGTTCAGAACTTTGGTTTGGGTAGTCCTCAACCCATCCCTACTCCTGTGTTTTTAGGCCATCTCCTTCCCTCTACCAGTGCACAGCAGCCAGTCATGTATTCAGGAGAAGTACAGAGAGATCTTCAATCATATGTATGAAAAGCTATGTTCAGTGACACTGAGAAGTGTGGTACACTGAGGAAAGTCAATAGATGGAGGAGACAGAAGCAGCCTGAATTGAGAGAGAAGCGTTTTCTGCCCCGTATGTATCTTTGAGGAGAAATACCTGTGGAGAACACTTTTTAAAGAGATACCTATCCAGAATAGCTCAGCTCAGAATCTGATTTTCCAATGAGTCCTTGCTTTCTACTCAGTTTTGCATTAAGGACTGTATTTAGGATTAGCGCTGATTCAGTAGCCGGTAGCTAGCATCCTGCTCAGGTGTAAACCTCAGGCATAGACAAGGAAAATCGCAATTTCACCAGCTGAGCTGATTCTAGTTTCAGGCAGGGTAACTGGTGTAAACTGGCTTTACTTGCTTACACTTTCAGTTTGCATCAATGTAGCTACACTGATTGCTGGGCAGTGGTTGCTGAAACTCAAGTATAGACAAGGCTTGAGGTACAGGGAAGAAATTACCCTGAAGTCATACACCGGTGGAGCAACTGTCCAGATTAGATCCTAGTTGACTCCTGCTTTCCAGCCTTTCACTGTAGCATTGAGAACGTTTGTGGCCACCTCAACAAGACTAGACAGCAGTGTCATTCTAAAGATGCAGACTCTCTGTCTGTTGAAATATTTGATTTTCCATGAGATTTGTAACCGCTCCAAGCCCTTGCATTTCACTTAGGAGCAGAATATGCAATTTGTTGACAAAATGTCAGTTTTAAGTGGAACACCCACCCAACTCCCAAAATAAAATTAAGCACGGTCCATGCAGCCAACCTCTCAGACAAAAGTTTGGGAAAACAGAGGAGCCTTTCAGTGTGCCCTGGAGGTCTTTTAAATAACAGATTTGGTCAGACCTTTAGGACTAGTGTGGCAGCAACTGAGACAGATCTGGAAATGAGCACGAAAGTGATTTTCAGGCATCTTTATCTCCCATCCCAATTCTGGGGCACTAGGCACTGGGCTGGTCCCAAGGTGCAATTTGGAGTAGCATAAGGTCTACTCCAAGTTACACATCTTGTAACAGTCCCGCCAGAGCTGTTACAGCAGCTGGGAATTGACTGAACATAGAAGCTACGCAGCTTTTCCAAGGGAAAAATGGGGGCTGCTGTATCAGTCTTAACACCATCTTGAAATTTCCTCATGCTGGGGAAGTCCTTGAGTAGACATTTAAGCTGGCTTGGTGACTGCTAATGTGCCAGTGGATCACCACAAAGTCACCAGAGCAGGGACCAAGATCTGGCCCATTTCCTCTGATGAAACAGCTTTGATTTCTAAATAACAGCTCCTGTGAATTATATGAAAAACCCTGGAACCCTGTTTCTAGAATAAAGTGCTTAGTTAACGTGACTTTCCACGGCCAGGGATGGATCCCAGCTGGAACAGTGGCTCTGCGAAGTTGCACACTAATGTATGCTGCAGCAAGAACTGTTTGCTCTAGAACCTTATCTACTCCTGTAGTTCATAAGAAGGCCTTGCATTTTCAAACATGGTTACGAGCGACATTGGTTTCAACTTGATTCTTGGGGGTTCCTTTATTAACGTTCAGCCACAAAGCTAAAGGGAGGATTTCTCGGTCTCAAATGGAGTTCACTTTCTCTATGGATATTGATAAATCACCCCTCCCAGAGAGGTCTTTTATTCCTTCTAAAACATACTTCTGAGCAGCACATTTCTTTAGCCTCTGCCACACGCTCTCCTGAGATCAAAGGCATTTTCAACAAAGGCACCAAGAGGATTCCCCAGATCACTGTACGCCCCACTCCATATGCCTATACACTGTCAGCACTCGGTGTATTGTGTATGCTCAATATAGCACACAGACTCAGCATATATATATTTCCATAATAAACATACTCACTAGCATTCTCAGGGACAAACAAGAGCCCTCCTAGGAAAGGCACTCACCCCCAGTTTGTTCGCTAAGCGATGTTGCTTCTAAGAAAGCATTTTCGTTTAAATGAGAAAACAACTGAACGGATTCCCCAGACCTTCACTCCGCCTCCTCTCTGCAGGAGGCACAATCCTGGCTTACCCCAGGCTAAAGGGTATAATTTGTGCAGGAGTCTCTCCCCCATCCCATCTCCTCCAAACTATAAGCGAGCCTTCCAGGTTGAAACACTGCCTCCCGCTACATTATCTTTACTTTTAACTCCTAGCTCCACTGAAGTCATGTTGCTTCTGTTACTCTGCAAGTAGCCATGTGAGGGCTGCATTTCTATTTCCTCTTTGACAACGTTATCCCCCACCCTACTGCAGGTAGTAGGCTGTTCAAGCTGGATAATCAAAGGGCAAGTCACCTCCTCTTTGGCTAAGTGTCCATATTGGCTTATACTCTCTAAACAGGGATGGTGGGTAAAGCCAGGCCTCCCCCCACTCCAGTCAAACACCAGGTAAATGGCTTTTCATAAGCAAGGTTCAGCCCCACACAGGAAGAATGTGACTTAGCAGACAAGCTTGTAAATAATAAAGGCTTCCTTATAGCTGAAGTTTTGGAGTGCTCAGCAAGGCTCCTCTTACATGTTGAATTTAATAAGGCTTCTCCAGCCAAAGATTATCCCTCGGCCTTTCACCTGGTCCCAGGGGAATCCAGTACCTGATTTCCCTCTTCTGGTAGACTCCTGCCCAAAAGCAATTAGATTTTTACAGAGGCTCCCGATCAAGGTTCTTTGGTGCCTCCTGATGCTGCCATGGATGATGTTAGTCTCATCAATAATGACTTAAGCTTCTGAAGTTCTCTCTTTGCTTCCTGTGGGCCAGATTGTGAACTCCTTGCTTCCGTTGGTGAGCAGCTACTCCTGGGAGTAATCAGAGTGAAATCAAGGGGACAACTCAGGTGAGTAATTTTTCATCAGTGGCAGTAAGGTGAGAGAGGTGAAGGTGCTACAACCAAGCTTGAAGGAAATTCGATTATATGCTCAGGAAAACTTCACACTGCAGGTGGGTGAAAAGTCAAGATTTAACAGTGTCATAAATATAAAGGGAAGGGTAATCACCTTTCTGTATACAGTGCTATAAAATTCCTCTGGCCAGAGGCAACATCCTGTTACCTGTAAAGGGTTAAGAAGCTCAGGTAACCTGACTGGCACCTGACCCAAAGGACCAATAAGAGGACAAGATACTTTCAAAGCTTTGGGAAGGCTTTTGTTTTGTGCTCTTTGTGTACGTGGTTGTTCTCTCTTGGGACTGAGAGAGGCCAGACAGAAATCCATCTTCTCCAACCCATCCTAATCCAAGTCTCCAATATTGCAACCAGTATAGATAAGCCAGGCAAGGTGGATTAGTTTATCTTTTGTTTTATGTGAATTTTCCCTGTGCTAAGAGGGAGGTTTATTCCTGTTTTCTGTAACTTTAAGGTTTTGCCCAGAGGGGAATCCTCTGTGTTTTGACTCTGAATACCCTGTAAAGTATTTTCCATCCTGATTTTACAGAGATGATTTTTACCTTTTTTTTTTCAAATAAAATCCCTCTTTTAAGAACCTGACTGATTTTTCCATTGTTCCAAGACCCAGGGGTTTGGGTCTTTGATGATTTTGTAACCAATTGGTTAAGATATTATTCTCAAGCCTCCCCAGGAAAAGGGGTGTGTAGGGCTTGGGGGGATATTTTGCGGGAAGACGTCTCCAAGTGGTCTCTTTCCCTGTTCTTTGTTTAAAATGCTTGGTGGTGGCAGCATACTGTTCAAGGACAAGGCAAAGTTTGTACCTTGGGGAAGTTTTTAACCTAAGCTGGTAAGAATAAGCTTAGGGAGTCATTCATGTGGGTCCCCACATCTGTACCCTAGAGTTCAGAGTGGGAAAGGAACCCTGACAAACAGCTACTAGCAGGAGGGGAAAGATGGCCTTTTAGTTAAGGCAACAGACAGTGATGCGGGAGACTTGGGTTCATGGATTTCTGTTGTGATTTTGGGGTCTGCACCTCAGTTCCTTAATTATAAAATGGGGCTAATAATGCTTCCTCTGTCCATCTGTCTTATGTAGATTGTAAGTGCTTCAGGGCAGCACCAATCTCATACAATATGTATATATAGCACCTTGCACTATGGGCCCCTGAGCTCAGTTGGGGGTCTTTAGGCATGACTAACAATATTAACCCTAGAGATGGGTATTTATCACTCAGGAGCGAGAGAAGGAATGGCTGGTTTCACTCACATACCCAAATACACAAAGATGGTCACGTTAGCATTATACAGTATGTGTATATATATATATATAATTTATTTCACACAATCCTGATAAGAGTTACAGGTGTATTTGGAATCATTTACAGTTTCACAGCATATGGAGTGGCCATACAGCTTCTGATGTGAGTAACATACAGTGTGTAGAGAGTACACATTTCCAATCCACCCACCCACCATTCACACAATGGGTTTCAAAGCTAATACTAGATTCAGCTACGTAGGAAGCCTTGAGAATGCTAGGATACAGCGTTGGGTGTCATACAACACTGTAAGTCACAATGGGACAAGCTAAACTACTTTAATTTTCAATCTAGTATTTCTAGTCTACCTGCATTATTGCATTTATACGCTTTTTTTTTTAAAGTCAAAGTAAAGAGAATACTATATGGGAAAGGAAAAATTCTTTACTATTTTAGGATTTGAGCTGCAGCCCATACAAAGTGTCCATAGAAGCATAGACAAGATTATAAATTCAAAAAGGTATAAATTAGCTGTATAGCTTTTGTGTGTAGGTAGGTGTCCATTTTCCCTGGGAAATGTACCCAGCAGCATACTGTCTCTGAAAGCAAAAAAAAAATCAAACCTGTATGTTAAACACAGGTAATTATGTGCGTGACCAGTAGGTCTGTATAGGGAAAAAAATCAAGGTGTCATCTGATAATTACTATTAGTTGGAAAACTTTTAGGGCTTGATCCAAAGCCAATGGAAAGACTCCCACTGACTTCAAATATGGTTGCAAACTAACGTGGCTTCACCCAGTAATGTGCTGGACTCTTTCCATTGACTTCAATGGGCTTTGGATCAGGCTCTTAAGAATTACTAGTTTAAAAAAAAATCCCCTTTAATCAGACCAGCAAGTTTCCTTTATATACCTTTAGTTTCTCCGATACCTCATAAAGAACCTAAACCTACCTTAGCAGATGGTGGAGTGTCTTTGGATAGCTGGAATTGCATGTTTTAGAGATTTCTTTAGAAAGGTTCCTAACCAGTGATTCAGGAAAAGGCACCAGGGTTAAGAGGGGCTGCTCAAAACTTAATAAAGTCAAACAATTTCCTTTTTTAAAAAAAGAAAGGAGGTGGGGAAATATGCTGTCCTTGTTGATTTGCCCTAGAAACTTTGGACTGTTTGAAGCTACAGCGTTAGAGTCTGGAACATACTGCAGGGCTTGATGAAGATAGGCAGAAAGTTTCTCTCTCACTGCTGGGCATTGTTGCACCGTAGCATCAACGTGCAAGGGCAGATCAAGGCAAAAACTTTGATTCTTGGGATCCTGGCCCAGATCCCTAAGTGGGCCAGATCCAACTGTGAAAACCAAGGTGGGGTGGAATGGGAACATGGCTATGCAGGGAAGATTGCAGACTCCAGGGTAGGAGCTAGTTCACGTGGGGGAAGTAGGAACAGGCATGGCATGTGAATATGTTGTAGATCTTAACCAGTTCTATTTTATCATTGAAAAGTAGTGTAGAACAGCAGATTCTGCTCTCACTGCTCGTGGTAAACTCGGTCACATCACTACATATCAGGTGAGTCACTGACAGCGTTTGCACTCAATGGAGATTTTAAGATGGGGGCAATGCAGCAGTGGAAGGTAGAGCCACATCTGTGAATAGCTAAGACCAGTAACTTGTGGTCTTCCATAGTGTTTGCCTGCTCTGAGATTCATCTGATTGGGAAAGCTGCTGTTTCAAGGCAATGTGAACTTGCCATGTGATGAGCGCATCTTCACACTAACCTAGCCCCATGGGACAACACAATCTGAACAGCCCACCAACATGGAAACAAAGCTTGCAAACTTTTCTATGCCCAGCTGATGCACTGACTTCAAACCTGTTATTTTGTGGCGGGGGAAATACAAGCATGTGCCATGCACATTAGCAGATTTCCAAGGCCCACTATGATCCATGCCATGGACCTAGTTCAAAATCAGGCCTCAAGTCTTTTGTCCAACGAAATATATTTAATTTCTTTCATCTCTGCACTCAGATAACTGAAGGATCAATAGCACTGGCTTGAGCCATGCAGAGTGCATGCAAATACTGTGGTAGCTTCCCTCATGCAGCTTTGCCAGTGCATCTCAACCCTGACCTGCAATCATTCCTCAGTGCTCCAGTTGGGGGCCTCCCTTGAACAGAGTGCCAATCATGTAGTGAGTCACTGATGTGCAATAATGAGGACTAGAATGAGACTAGCAAATTAAGGGTCTAATACTGTGAGGTGCTGAATGTCCCCAACTTCCATTGACTTCAATGGAAATTGAGGAAACTCGTCACCTTGCAGACTTGGGCCGTAATATTTACTTGTGACTTGGGTAACTATAGCAGATTAAAAGCTTGTGCACCTCCTTCCCCGCCTGGGACATATAGCCCCTGAGTATGCCATCTATATATTAAATGGCATAACTTTTGCTATTCTTTGGACTGTTAAAAATCTACTCCTGCATTTGTGACAGTCACATAAATCTGGTTTCCGCATAGCCCTGGCGAGAGCACACTTGGAAAATTGCTTGGGAAGATTATAGGAATGCTAAATAAAATGCAAAGAAGGGAAGCAAGTATTATTCCAAAATTGGAGGATAAGCCATTAAGTGTAAGGAAACAAATGTCCCGGATCAGATTCTCAGCTGACGTAAATCAGTGTAACACCATTCAAGTCAATGGGGATATGCCAATTTATTCCAGCTGAGGATCTGGCCCATATAAACTAGAAATGAGTTTTGGAGTGATGGAGGGAACTTGGTCATAGCCTATGAATACCTAACAGTTAATGGAAGTGCAGAATTTATTCTCCGATGATGGCTGGAAAAAGGGCAAAAACCTGCAGCTAATGAGGAAAAGTTCTTAACTGCATGAGAAAATTGTGCAATGAAATGATCGTCTCAATGGCACATGCTCAAAGCACCATCATTATGGAATGACATAGTGAGTAGCCCTGTGAAGACATTGGACTGAATGACACATGTGGCCTTCAGTGGGTCTCCTGTCTATGGGCCAGATTACAATATCTTTAGGCTACATAGTACCTTACATGATTAGTCCCTCTGAAGTCAATGGGAAATAAGGTGCTGCTGAGTGTGATCAAGGCTATGACAGTCTAGCCTAAGGAGAGGAACATTAAATATAATTTATGTCATTTGATAGTCTAATTTAGGTATCACCTCATCATCTGCCACAAACTAAACATAATAGCTAACGTTTATCAGCCTACACTCAATGCCCTTAATACAATTGGACATGCTGTTAAAAGTAATAAGCAGTATGTGCAACAGATGGACTTTGGTGAAGGATTAAACTAAAATCAAGATTGGGTTGGAAGAGTTTTGAAAATCAATGGGCCAAGAAAAGTCATTTCTTGATGATCCAAGTCCTTAAATTATTTAAGAATTGTTTTAAAATACATTATATTTTGGGGCTAGGAGTAATTCACTAGATGTAAATGGAGCAGTAGGTTTGGATGCACCGTGTGAGAAGGACGCTCTTCATAGTCTCTGCTTATGGTTTCCCTGGCGGTCCATGAGATCAAAGGATAGAACCTGAAGTATGTGAGAGCTCCACACGTGGAACCCTTTAAGATCAAACCTAATGATTGTTTTCCCCATTCCCTGTGAGCGAAATTAACCCAGCACAGAGGGACCATGCCAGGCATTACCACAATACAAATAAAGAAGAAGAAGAAGAAGAAGAGAAAATGGGAAAATAGCTCTAACGGCCTAATCCACAGCCTATTGAAATTAGTGGAAAGACTCCTCTTCATGTTTTTTGGATCAGCCCCCAAAGCCCTGATTCAGCAGAGCACTTAGGCATGTAACATTGAAGGGCAGCGGGTTTACTTAAAGTTAAGTATGTGCTTAAGTGCTTTTGGTGAATCAGGGCCTACATGAGATAGAAAGCAGAACACATTCTCACGATGCTGAAAACGCTGTTGGAGCATCCCTCACGCTCAGATGTGATTCTATCCCACAGCAGAACTATTAAGAGGCCTGGGCCTGATCCAAAGCCCATTGGAGTCAAAAGAAGGCCCCACCAGAGGAAAGGTGGCCAATGTCAGCTTTACAGAGCTAGGGACAGGGGAAACCCCTTCCAGACATGTAACTTGCATTAGGTCGAGAGGGGTGGCTTCTTCAAAATAGAACAAATGTAGTAATTGAATCTGTTGTTTTAAAGATAAGCTGCATTTTCTACTGCAGTGTTTGTATAGTTAATCTATCAAATTTCTAATTTATAAACAGCATCAATAAGAGTAAACTAGCAATCTAGATCCCTACAAACCCCCAAGCCGGAATCTTACCCGTTTCAAGCTTTAATTCATTCTCATTGAGGAGACGTCACTAAGAGGACCTCATATTACAGCAAACACAACACAAAACATCAAGCAAATAAAGGCGTGTGCTCAGTGCTGCCGCAAAACAGGACAACTATTTATTTAGCACAGCAAGTTCATTCGTTAGCCTTTTGCCTCATGACAAATGGGGTTTCAATCTGTCGTAGGTTCCAACAGAGAGATCATTTGCTCTTCTCAGTCTAGTTCTCACTGGCCTTCTGTGCTCAACAGGAAACCACCATGCAGTGCAGCACAAAGGTATAACAGACAGCATCTGCTCAAAGGTAGTTGCAAGTCAGGACTGAAGGGCACCGAAACCCTGTGTGTTTAGGAAGCTTGCATGGCACCTCCTTGTGATATACCAGACTCAAACCAGCACTAGTTCCACTACAACACAACACGACACATTCCAAAATACTTGAAAAGAGGAAGTACCTTTATAAAAGCAAAGTAGCCCACGTGACTATTGGGGAAGGTGGGGAGACAGTAATTATTAGCTTGTAGCACAATGGGGACGCTATATATTCAGGAGTTTCCTAGCCAGACATTCTCTTAGTGGTAAGAAACCGTGACCAGAAATGTTGCTTTGGGCAGAATGCAAATGGTACAAAAACGAAAACATGGACACTTTGTGTGAATGCAGGTGCACAAATAAAGAGTGGTCTCAATATTTTTCTTTACAAAAAATATGGGTTGTGTAGCTTTACAAAGACTGCAGTAAACTGTAATATATACATGTAATATTCTTCAAGCAGGCGGTGGGTTTGTACACATCCACACAAAAATGGGTGTTTTCAGACCAGCAAATGTGCTGGGTTCTGGAGAATGAGTCATGACAGTGGACCACAGTACCGAGCAATTACAGTAAGTGAATGATTCCCCTAGAGACCTAACCTATTTCTTCACGGCCATAAATATGATTGAGGGCAAGGTTATTTTTCAAGATGACGAGTTCTAGTCCTCCCACCGTCACCGTCTCCCGTGTCTCAATAACCTCCCTGGCCTATTTCAGGAGGAAATTATTGGCTTAGAACTAGAGATGGCCCTGCATCCAAATCACGTATCTTATTGCTTTGGGGAACAGTTCAAATCTGGATGGAAGTTTTGCAGTTAGGCCCCTCCCAGCTCAGAACTTTTTTTCTCGGTTTTCCAAAGATGAATGCAATCAAGTTAAAATACTTTTAAAAAGAGAAAGAGAGGAGGGCTCCTGCGAAGCATCCAATGTTTCCTTTTCCTCCTTGAATTTCTGTCTACCCTGGTTAGTTCAGAACAGAAAGGAGCTAGATCTGTGATTTTTATCACACACTCCACTGGAAAACACATCTGCCAGAACTAAATGGGAGGGCAACAAATAGGGAAGCATCTCTTGAAGTAACTTACACTTGAAACTAGAAATCAAATCTCTGCTTCATAAGTTCTAGGAGTCACTGACCCTGCCTTGGCAGGAGTCAGGCTAGACAGTTATGATTTCTTCCCCATCTCAGGGGTCAATACTTTTCACTTCCCTCTTTTCACCCTATCCTCACCCCAGCTTACAATTATAAATTAACATCTCATCATCTGCAAAACATCATGGGGACACATTAGCTCCCCAACAAGGAAAGGTTATTAAAGAAACAAGCAGCCAAACAGCCTTCTGGGTAGATAATAACAAGGAATCCCCCATGATGTAGTTAACCTATTCTTACTAAGGTTTTCCCATAGCCTTCTCAGTACAGGAGGGAGTGTATTACAAGGTGGAGTTATAAATCCTGTCCACAATACAGGTGAAACAGTGCTAGCACCTATCAAGTTTAAGCATGGTGGTTGTTAGCACTTGTTTCAACAATGGGGCAAACCTGATCAGATTGCATCAGTCTGTGCAATGGAAAAGAACATATGCAGGTTAAAACTCGGAAGCACATAATAGTTTGGAAACCAGGAGATAGAATTTTATACCCAAAGAGGCCACATATGTCTGGGAATATTTTAAGAGCCTCATAGAAAAGATGGTGAAAAATCTAACTGCAAGAAGAGAAGGGAATTTGTAAATAAACTGTGCCCAAATATTCTGTTGAGCCACATGCACTCAGTAGGACAAATTCTTAAAGGACTCTGAATTAGACATCTAGGAATTGCCAGACTGGATCAGATATGTGGTCCATTCAGTCCAGTATCCTGTCAACCAAGAGTGGCCAATACTAGATGTGTCAGTGGAAGATGCAAGATATCTGGTGTAAGAAACTAAGAGACTTGGCATAATTGATGCTTCATCTAGCCCTTATACTGGTTTATATGCCCAGGTGCTCAGGCTCCCTTCCAGACATGTAACTTACACCCCGCTTCTACATTTCCTCTGAATTTGGACCGGTTTCTCTGGCTTTTGAAAAGTATCTTTGCCAATCATCGCTGCAAAACTGTGACACTCCTGTGTATCACTCACCAGTTAGCAAGTACTACTGCTGAGTTCCAATGACTCTTTGGGTTATTCTGTTTCAATTCTGGCTCTGTTTAAAACAAAACATTGGATAAAGAATCCTTTCCATACGATAGCAGCAGCAGCAAATAGGGGTCGTAATGGAAGTTCTGAGTCTGGAAAGGTCACTCATCCTCAGAAGAGTTGGGTGTCCCATCTTCTCAGTGTCATGGGAAAGGCTTCAATGAATGTAGTAAATGGAGCCTCCATCTATCCCCTCCCTTACTTCTCCCTTCCTACCCACGGTCTGGTTTTAGATCTCACCTCCTTCCCCTCCGCCCCAGCAAAGAAACCAGGCTGTTTCCAAGCTTTGGGAAATTGTTTCCACTTTCAAGACATGGGCATTTCACATTTTCCTGGTAGACTCAGATCAGGCGGTAGAAGATCTCTCCAAACAAAATCTGTTTTCATCACTTTTGCACATGGTTTTCCCAGCATAAAGGGGATCATGTATATCATTCTCATAGTGCTCCATGTGCTACTTGCCCTTAAAGCCCAGTTCTTGCCTGCCTTTTCTTCTACCTTTGCCGCAAGCTTTTATGGAAAAGCACCAGGATTAAGGGCCTGAGCCAAAGCCCACTGAAGTCAACGGAAAACCTCCAGCGGACATCAGTGCAGTTTGGATTGAGCCCTAAGTGCTCTGCTGAGGCCAGTTTAAGTTTATCAAATACTGTATTATGTCCAAAACAGTCTCTCACCCTCTAGGGCAGGAATGCCCAAACTCTGTCCCAATGGCCTTATCTGCATTGGCAAATGGCTGGGTGCCTGGGGCTGCCCCCAATATACATAAAATGGAGCAGATTGAAACTGTCCTCTGTATGACTAAAGATGGGATGGGACTCCAAGCCTTGTATGTTGTCTCCATGGGCTGCAAACTGCACTGTAGAGCTCAGTGAGACATATTTGCCCCTTGAGCTTCACTGTAGCTACTGGTTTGCATCTCAGACATAATGCCATATGATCCACACTCTTCTATATCACACAGTCAGCTCACCTCCGGCTATAGGTTACTCCTGTCTTGTCTGTTTGTTTTTAAAGGTTGGGTGATAAGCATTTGGAACATAATGTACATATTAGGCCAGAAGCTCGGAGCTGCCATCTTACATGTCTGCAAAGCGCCCAGCACAAGCTGGGGTATGATATTAATAATAAACCACAATAATTGATGAACTGGGTCTTATTACTGTTCCTTTTCTCCCTTTCCTCTTCTCTACCACAACCCAATTTAAAAAAAATCAAAATAAATAGAGCAGGGTCTCAGGATGGGATGTAGAACACCTCTGCTTGGAAATGCTGGGACTATGGGAAAGTGGGGAGTCTCCTGGGGAGGAGCGTGGGGGAGGGGACACTGGCATTTACACTGATCAGGAGAAGCTGTAATCTATACAGGGTTGTACAAGCCAAGTTATATTACATGAAAGCGCATATTGAGTGCACGGAGTACCCATACTGGTCAAACTGGCACAGCTCCTTTGGAACAAGACTTTTGGAGTAGTTGTTGGTGCTGTAGTTACCCTATCTAGCGCTCTCTCTATATATGTATAGATATGTATAGAATTTACTGCATGCATGTGTTTCAAAAGGAACTGTACAGTTGATTATATTTCTCTCCCCCAACCCTTTCTCGGTCTTCATTTTTTCCGGGCTAGGAATGCCACTCCCAGAATTATAGCAATGGCAGCCACCACCACACCTCCAACAATGGCCAGTGGCTTCACGTTGTCGAAGACACTGCCTGAGGATTCCTCTGCGCCGTTTCCCTTGTGCTCAGAGTCAGGGGACTGGCCGGTGGCCTCTTGCACCTCCGGGGCCGCAGGGCTGGATTTCAGATTGCTGTGGTTATTCAGTGCAGCTGCCTCGCTGGCTGCCTTCTTCGTTGTGGCCACAGGGGCAGGCTGCTCCTTGGAGGGGGTTTCCTTCTTGTCTGCGTTCATAGCAGGCCCGGGGTTGGGCTTCTCTGGCTTTCCTGAGCTGGCGGCCTTGGCATCAGGTTTGCTTCCGCTTCGGGTGCTTCCTTTAGATTCCATCCCTATGAGTGCAGTAGGGGGGTGGGGGGTGGCCTGACCTTCACAGGGCCGGCTCTCAGGATATTACTACCAGCTATATGTACCCACGTTGCTTTCACCTGGTGTAGGCAGGCTGATGAATTGACCTCAAATGGATCCCCTGGTAGCCGTCGTCCCGGCAACCTTCTCACTCTGCCAATATTTCACCAGGACATGACACGGAACCTGGAAGAACAAACAGAAAATGAGAGGTGAGTGAAGAGGATGCACAGAGTGATAGATACAAGAGCCACCAAGAGCACGTTTTACAGTCAGAGCCACTCTACTTGTAGGTTGCGGTGGAACTGTAGACAAGCTGTACAGATCAGGGCAGTGATTGTCCTTTTATGTGGGCTTTGAAGGATTAGATCTTTTATCAGTAAAGGTCAATAAACATTGATTTCACCACATACATACAAACGGACTACAAAAATATTTCCATCGATAATCAGCGAAATTTACAGATAGGCAAAGGAAGAAAAATGCTACTTGAGAACTTACTGTTCTCAAGGAGAAGGGAGAAAAATTGTTCCCAACCTCTGAGGGTAGAAGCAATGGGCTTAAATTGCAGCAGGGGTACCTTAGGTTGGACTTTAGGAAAAACTTCCTGTCAGGGTGGTGAAGCACTGGAATAAATTGCCTAGGGAGGTTGTGGAATCTCCATCATTGGAGGTTTTTAAGAGCAGGTTAGACAAACACCTGTCAGGGATGGTCTTGATAATAGTCCTGCCAGGAAAAAAACAGCTAACCATTTTGGTCAATTTCAGAGTCATAGGATTTTAAAACCAGTACATTTCATGATGTCAGCTATTTAAATCTGAAATGTCACGGTTTTGTAATTGCAGGGGTCCTGATGCGAAAAGCAGTTGTGGGGGGTTGTAGGTATTTTGTAGGGGGCAGATTGCGGTACTTCTACCCTTACTTCTGCGCTGCTGCTGGCGACGGCTCTGCTGCCTTCAGAGCTGGGCAGCTGGAGAGCAGCGGCTGCTGGCCGGGAGCCCAGCTCTGAAGGCAGAGCCGTCGCCAGCAGCAGCGCAGAAGTAAGGAGGGCCTGGTATGGTATTGCTACCCTTTACTTCTGCACTGCCTGCCAGAGCTGGGCGCCCAGCCAACAGCCGCCACTCTCTGGCTGCCCAGCTCTGAAGGCAGCACAGAAGTAAGGGTGGCAATACCGTGACTCCTTAAAATAACCTTGCAACCCCCCTACAACTCCCTTTTGGGTCAGAACCCCCCAATTTGAGAAACACTGGTCTCCCCTATGAAATCTGTATAGTATGGAGTAAAAGCGCACAAAATGACCAGATTTCACGGTGGGACATCACATTTCACGGTCCATGACACGTTTTTCACGGCCACGAATTTGGTACTGCCCGACCCATGAGGCATAAATGACAAGTGGATGGAGCATGAGAGGGATCAACAGGGACTCAGGCTGGTGTTACAGCTTCCATGTGATGGAAAGAAAAGAGAAGCTGCTGCCAGCCAGCTCTCTGCCAGAGCTGCACTGGGGATGTCTGGTGTCAGTGATGCATCTGGGAAATAATGAGTAAACAGGAGGCAACCGTCAGATCTGAGCAGCCTTCTTCATTATCTCCCTGCTGACCTTCAGCGCTTCCAGGGTCCTGTGGAGAGCTTTCTGCCAGCTAAGTGAAATATGAGCTTATTAACAGCTTAGAAGAGGAGTCTCATGGAAACCTCCCCAGCCAGAGGGCTTCGTTTGTTGCACTTTTGTTCCGAGATGACCCACTGACTTCAAAAATCTCATCGAATGATGGTTTGTGGGGGGGTTAAAAACCCTCTAATTCTCCTGTTTATAAGGGGTTGCAGCAAGTGGTGACATTTCTGTGCAATGTTCAATGTGCTTCCCCCTCTCTGGGAAACATTTAGAATAATTAGCACTTTACCTCTCCCCTCGTCCCCCCCACCCCAAAGTGAGGCTGGGTTGGAATAAAGCTACATGGGGGGGCACAGGGGCTCGGTTCAACAAAGGGAAATAAGCCAACTACTTGTCATCTGGTTTTAGGTAGAAACCTCCTATTCCACAGCTGTCCACTATGCGGTTTCTTGTGTAGTGGCCATCATTTTGCCCAACACCAGACATTGAACCAGGCATGCCTGGGTCTTTGTAGCTTGAATTCTATAACAGGCACACATTCTCAGTGGATCAGGTACAGAGCAGGAGGCATAACACCAGCTGCTTACATGCTTCTTCCAGAGAGAAGCAGCTTCTCCTGTGCAGCCAAAGCCCACTGAGCATCTCAAATCCCAGACAGCCATCAACTTGGCCAACACCAGGGACTGAACCAGGGAGCTCTGGAGCTGAAAGCAGAAGTCTACAGCTTGAGCTAAAAAGCAAACTTCTCAAGCAGAAGCCTGTAATAGACCCATACCCTCTGTGGATCAGGCACGGAGGGGGACACATAATATACACTGACCAGTGGGGTCAAACTTTCACCAACCTCTGAAGTATTTGGTACTGGCTGCTGTCAGAGACATATGAATATAGGAATTGCCATACCGGTACTCCATCTAAGTCCAGAATCCTGTTTCTGATAATGGCAAGTACCAGCTACTTCAGAGGAAGGTGCGAGAGACCCTAAAATGGCCGATAAAACAATAAACTGTCCATAAAAGAAATTTCTTCTTGTCCCCCCCCTAAATTAGAGGTTGGTTTATGGCCTAGAACATGAGGGCTTGTATCCTTTCCATTTCCCCCCTCTTTTTCATAATCCTTACTCTGGATATTCTTGTTATCTGTATCCATTTTTGAATCCTGCTAAATTCATGGGCTCAATGATGTCCTATGGCAATGAGTTCCACAGACTAATTCTGCATTGTGAAAAAAAAAATTCCTTTTATCATTCTTACATTTGCTGCCTTTTTAGTTTCATGAAATGTCCAGGGGGGGCCGGTTTAGATGGACCACTGCTCTGGTCCTGCAATTCCTGTGTTCTTATAGCGGGCTGAATCAACCCCACAAAAACTTTGGGCCATTTAAGATCTGGATCTGAATGCAGATCCAAATTCTGAGGTCTAACCATAGTACAAGCAAAAACAAAGGATGCAGGTAGCTAAAAATACAACACCAAGAATGTAGCATCAACACAAGTGCCATTTCTGAAGTGAATTCAATGCGCTATGAAAGATGCCAGAGTGACGGCCCTGGAGTCGGACATCTATTTTTCCAAGGAATAAGTACAGCACAGGCTGCAGCAATGTAACCTTCTCCCACCCTGCCCTAACTCAGCTCAGATCTAGAAGGGCCACTTGTGTGGTCAGCACAGTTGGTTCATATGTAATGCAGGCTTCATGCAAATTCAATTGTGAGGCCCTGCTAAGGCTCTTAGCCATGCTGTGGACACCCGGCCTACAGGAACTATAGTGAAACCCCCAAACGCACTTCATATAAAGTCAACAAACGGCCATGAGATGGTACAATTGTTGGCCACGGCCACTCTGCTTGTTTCCACGCTGGTGGTGATACAGAAGTGAAAGGCTCCATATGTAACTGTCAGTCTCCACAGCCGTTCCAGCCACGTTCAGAATAATTGGTGTTCTTCTATTAATTTCCCAACCCACTCTAGTCCCAGGCTCCTTAATCAAGGAATAAAACGCAATAATCTTTCAGTGTATATCAAATCCAGCTACCAAACTGGACTAACAGTTATATATGGGCCGGATCCTCACCTGGTGTCGTCAATTGGCATAGTTTCTCTAACTGTAATTGATCTACACAGATTGACGTTGTCGGAGGAGCTAGCCCACAATATTAAATGTTGTTCTAGACACAAAACGAGCAAATGATGATCACTCGTACTATTGAAAATATAAAAGTTAAGATTTCCACTCCGAACTCAAAAGGCCAGAACCACTCACCTGATGCACCCCGCCCTCAGGTAGATTGGAAAACAAGGACCTCAAAGCTTTGCAAATGTTTTTGCAGAACAGAATTGTGTTGAAGTGGCTAATTTGGATTGAAAAGCTCAGTTTTTCAGTTCAGGTCTCTCTCTGTCTCTGTGACCAGAGAGCCCTGGAACCTCTGGTCAAAAACAATGCTGAAATCTATCCATTTCCATGACACATTTTGGCTTTGACAGAACAGCATATTTCAACAAAAAGACGTGCAGTTAGAAATGTTCTAACCAGCTGCACTCATTACAAAGAGAGAAACCTACTCTCCTGCTGGAAAACCAGCCTGCATGGAATGACTAGCACCAAGGGACGTGACTATGTGATGGTTTCAGTCAACAGAGTCACTCTCACTAGGGCCCTTTGGAATCGCTCCACTCTTGAATTTCAGCAAAGAAGAGGGTCATTCATTTGACAATGTTTGAAAAGTATCATGAGGCTGACTGGACTGGGACTCAGGAGACCTGGATTCAGTCCCCAGCTCTGCTCCATTCCCTGTGTGACCTGGGGTAAATCACCTAATCTCTGTGCTTCAGTGCCCCGTCTGTCCTGTCTTCCACCCTTTATCTGCCTTGTCTATTTAGACTGTAAGCTCTTTGCGGTGTCTGAGTCTCACTTGGGCCTAGTACAATGGGCCCCTGACCTCAGCTGGACCCTGGAGGCATTACTGTACTATACGTAATATGAATAAAATATTCACTCCTGTTATTCCTGTCGCCCTCTCCTTGACTAAGGCAACCTGCAGACATTTTTCACTCTGTCTTCACAATATGCTAGAAGGCCCCACATCACAGAACTGCCCTGTGTCATTTCAGACCTTGGGCTCAGCTGGGTGAGTGGAGCAGCTGGGAGATTGAAACGCCCTTTATCCCTGCAGAGGGCAGGGACCCCAGGTGATGGCTGTGGCAGAGCAGACAGGGTGGGTAGTTTGTAGAGGAGTCAGCTGCGTATTCACTTACAGGCACCTGGGCTACCCTTCTCTCTCCAAGCCTAGAACACCAGCCCTCCACGTGCTCCTTGCTCACCAGCAAAGAATTTAACCCCCCTTCTTTAATGCTCTCCAACCTTCTGGGTAGCAGGCTCCCTGCCATCCTCTGAGCTGGCTTAAACCCGCTCTGAATCCTTCCAACTAGCTCGCTCTCCTCCTCTTTTGTTCCCACTCCAGCAAAGCACTTCAGCACCTGCTTCACTTTAAGCAGCTGTGCTGTCCAGCTGAAGTCAATGGGCTTAAATTTAAGCAAGAATCTAAAGGAGAAAAACTCGGGGCCTTTATCTCT